GGATAGAACAAAAAGCAATGGGCTTAAACTGCAACAAGGGAGGTCTAGGTTGGACATTAGGAAAAAGTTCCTAACTGTCAGGGTGGTTAAACACTGGAATAAATTGCCTAGGGAGGTTGTGGAATCTCCATCTCTGGAGATATTTAAGAGTAAGTTAGATAAATGTCTATCAGGGATGGTCTAGACAGTATTTGGTCCTGCCATGCGGGCAGGGGACTGGACTCGATGACCTCTCGAGGTCCTAGAATCTATGAATATAGCAGCATTTTTTGGTCTTCCATTCTAATATGTCGGAATCAAGAAAACTGCCAAAACCTCAGCAGTGCTGATGGAGATGGTTTGTAGGTTTGGCTAGGGATATTATTACTGATCTTGTTCTGCTACTTATAAGGAGCAGCTGATGAAGGTGATCAGACTTGAGAATGTCACTTTGGTGCTCTTCAGTCTTCCTCAGCCTCCATGTTTCACTGCTGTACAATAGAGTTGATATAACTGTGGTTCTTTTCATCTACAGATTCACAGTAAGCTTGATGTCAACGTATCCACAGAGGTCGCTAGAGGCCCCAGAATGTGGCAACGGCTTCTGCTATGCAAGCATCCACATCTTTAGACATCCTCCAGCACTTGTCTGTAACACTTCCCAAGCATAAGATGGATGCATAACTAGTTGGAAAAGAGTAGTTATCAATGGTTAGCTGTCAGACTGGGAGGAAGTATCTAGTGGGGTCCTACTGTGGTCTGCCCTGGGTCTAGTACTATTCAATATTTTCATTAATTATTTGGATAATGGAGTGGAGAGTATGCTTATAAAATTTGCGGATGGCACCAAGCTGGGGGACGTTGTAAGCGCTTTAGAGGACAAGATTAGAATTCAAACCAACCTTGAAAAATTAGAAAATTGGTCTGAAATCAAGACAATGATATTCAATAAAGATAGGTGCAAACTACTTCACTCAGGAAGGAAAAATCAAATGCACAACTACAAAACGGGGAATAATTGCTTAGGTGGTAGTACGACTGAAAAATTTCTGGGAGTTATGGATCACAAATTGAATATGAGTCAATGATCTGATGCAGTTGTGTGGCTCATATGTAAGACTTTGGAGGTAATTTTCCCACCCTACATGGCATGGGTGAGGCCTTAGCTAGAGTATTATATGCATTTCTGGCCACCGTGGTGCCCAGAACGATGGACAAATTGGAGAGGAGAGCAACAAAAATGAGAAAAGGTTTCAAAAACCTGACCTATGAGGAAAGATTTAAAAAAAAGCTGAGAATGTTTAGTCTTGAGAAAAGAAGACGGGGTGGGGTGGGGGGACGACCTGATAACAGTCTTCAAATATGTTAATGGCTGTTACAAAGAGGATTGTGATCACTTGTTCACCATGTCCCATAAAGGTAGGACAAGAAGTAATGGGCTTCATTTGCAACAAGGGAGATTTAGGTTAGGTATTAGGAAAAACTTTCTAACTATAAACCACTAAATTCAGTGCCTTGCATGGTGACAGGTTTCAGAATGGTAGCCGTGTTAGTCTGTATCAGCTATAACATGGCTACCTTTCTAACTATAAAGAAAGTTAAGTAATGGAATAGCCTACCAAAGGATGTTGTGGAATCCCCATTGTCTAAACTGTTCTTACAAATCTCCAACAAACACCCACCCGCCAGGGATGGCCTAGGTTTACTTGTTCTTGCTTCAGCACAGGAGGCTGGACTAGATGACCTCTTGATTATCAGGACCGGCTTTAGGCACCAGCTTGGGCAGTTGCGCTCTCGGAGCTTTTTTTTTTTTTGGCGGGGGGGGGGGGGGACCGTAGAGCCGGCCCTGCCCTAGATTTCTAAGATTCTATTTGACAGTTGCCACCTGCTTGATATCCTGTCCAGACAGGTTAATACTGTGCTGGTTGTAATCTAAAACTGGAGGCTGCTTGATGGTAATGGCTAGGGACAGTTTATCTACTTTCATTTAAACTTTGGTTGAGAAAGTTTCCTAATACTTGCCTAATAGCAGTGCACAGAGGGAGTGTCTGCTATTCTTCCCTGTATGCTTCCTTTACTTTCCTGTCCCAAAGCTAGCCTACTGCTGCCCAGTTTATTGTGGGATTATTAAATTATTGGTGTCAAGTATCAGAGGGGTAGCCGTGTTAGTCTGAATCTGTAAAAAGCAACAGAGGGTCCTGTGGCACCTTTGAGACTAACAGAAGTACTGGGAGCATAAGCTTTCGTGGGTAAGAACCTCACTTCTTCAGATGCAAGTGGGATTAAATTATTGGGATACTCCAAAATGATACTTATCCCAGAGAGCAACAGTCACTGCAGACATGGCCTGTGCAGTCACCTTTCACCACTTCATTGTCCAGAAGTTATCTACCTGTACAAGTAGTGCAACACACCACAGAGAGTGCAATTGCAAGTCA